ATTAATGTATCATGACAAATCTTTAGACAATATTTTGAGAAAAAAAAATAACAGAAATAATATCCTTATATATATAGCATATTAAAGTGCTACAATTATCTTTAATATAGGTCTTATAATAATAGATGATATATTATTCTTTGTTGGTGGGAAAAATATAAAAACGATAAATCATTCTATTGCGATTATTCACTTTCAAATATGCAAGAATTTTTAGAGAAAATATATTAAAATTTGTGTAAACAGTGTTTAGAAAATCATTACAAAAATAAAGTATAATGTAAATTAACGTATGGGAATGAAAGCCACGGTACCATACATACATACCAGTAATTGTGCACACATTTTTATTCAATTTTCATTTATCCTATTATTTCCTATTATAAGTCATTGGAAAGATTTGTATGAGGTGTTTATACATATTATTGGCTTAACTGAATTATTTGTATATTGTATACAGCTAGTTTTTGTGGTACCGCCATATTAATGTTGTTTCATCATTAAATGTACTTGTCATTATAAATGTCGCTTTTTATTTTATTTGTTGTGATTTTGTATAATGCTCTTTTCTCGTCAATGCCAGACATTACATCTTTACTAAGTTGAAAAGGTGGCCAATTTGCTATTATGCTATTAAATAGCATTCATGCTCAAAATCTGGCCATCTGATTGACTGAAACATGGTGGTACATCTCCCACTGTAAGGCCAGCCAACATTCCCCGAACCGATACACTAGGCTAGTCTATTATTCGTAGATTTTGTTTAACGGCTCGCGATAATATACGGCATATATTCTATCTGCCACCCAGAACGCTGGAAAACGGGTACTAGACGGCATCTAGTCTATCTGCCACCAGAACACTGGAAAACGGGTACTTGACGGCATCTAGTCTATCTGCCACCCATAGCACCGGAAAACGGGTACTAGACGGCATCTAGTCTATCTGCCACCCATAGCACCGGAAAACGGGTACTAGACAGCATCTAGTCTATCTGCCACTCAGAACACCGGAAAACGGGTTCTAGACGACATCTAGTCTTTCTGCCACCCAGAACACCAGAAAACGGGTACTAGACGACATCTAGTCTTTCTGCCACCCAGAACACCAGAAAACGGGTACTAGACGGCATCTAGTCTATCTGCCACCCATAGCACCGGAAAACGGGTACTAGACGGCATCTAGTCTATCTGCCACCCAGAACACTGGAAAACGGGCAATAGACGGCATCTAGCCTACCTGCCACCCAGAACACCGGAAAACGGGTACTAGACGGCATCTAGTCTATCTGCCATCCAGAACACCGGAAAACGGGTACTAGACGGCATCTAGTCTATCTGCCACCCAGAACACTGGAAAACGGGTGCTAGACGGCATCTAGTCTATCTGCCACACATAGCACCGGAAAACGGGTACTATACGGCATCTAGTCTATCTGCCACCCAGAACACCGGAAAACGGATACTAGACGACATCTAGTCTATCAGCCACCCAGAACACCAGAAAACGGGTACGAGATGGCATCTAGTCTATCTGCCACCCAGAACACTGGAAAACGGGTACTAGACGGCATCTAGTCTATCTGCCACCCATAGCACCGGAAAACGGGTACTAGACGGCATCTAGTCTCTCTGCCACCCTGAACACTGGAAAACGGGTACTAGACGGCATCTAGTCTGTCTGCCACCCAGAACACTGGAAAACGGGTACTAGACGACATCTCGTCTATCTGCCACCCATAGCACCGGAAAACGGGTACCAGACGGCATCTAGTCTATCCGCCAACCAGAACACTGGAAAACGAGTACTAGACGGC